CTGGTGTTTATAGAACATGTAGTACTTTCTCAGATTTCAGATTTCTTGTCAAGTTGTAGGTTTTGCTGGAGAAAAAAAATAAATAAACAGACAAAACATGAAAATGTCAAAGCATTCCTTCAGTGGAGCTCTCAGCCACCACTGTCCTCCCCACGAAGCTTCCCCTTCTAATCTCTCTCGTATCCGTCTGCTGATCTGTCTGGACTCACCTTGGCATCGCAGAGTCTCAGGAAGTCGACAGAGAGGTATGCTTTAATGCCATCGATGGCTCCAGGCAGAGTTACTCCACGGAGCAGCAGCACAGTCAGGACCACATAGGGCATGGTGGCTGTGATCCACACAACCTTAAAGAGCCACATGGCATACATGCTCATCACTTGCGGATAACCCAAACCTTTACAGACAGAGCAAATAAAAGCTGGCACACAAGAGTAATAAAGCTTTTAGGTCCTTAGCTTCACAATTTTATGAACTCCAGACTCGAGATGGTTGGAAACATTTCCATGTTTCTTTTGTTTTACCAATGTGTGCCATATGTCGTACCTTGCCTGAGGTCTTGACTCCCTTCCAGAGACTAAAGTAGAGCAGAATGATCACAACAGCCAGACAGGAAGTCAACTGCCAGCGTGGACGTCCAAGATCATCAATACCATTGCTGTCTTGAATATGGAGGACCGCTCGTCTGGGAAACGGAACATCCAGTTTAGGAACACGACCACTCCCACAGTCACCAGCTCTATATCATGTTTTTCCACTGTGCCAAATGCAGAAATCCTAAAAAGCCTCTAAATCGAAGAAGTTTCTTCGATTTAGAGGCATTTGTCACCTTTCTTCTAAGGTGACAAATGTGAAAGGCAGCTACCCAACATATAACCTGATTTTTTTTTTTTTTACTAAAATGTTAAGCAGCAATCAAAGTACTGGAAATTACCACCATCGGAAATTACCACCATCCACCAACCAATACGACATTTGACTACTTTGGAGACTAAATGAGGGTCAGACAAGACACAAGTAAAATATTGTTGTTTTCTAACAAAGTCACGTTTAATTAAATTTAGACTTTGAGTAAATTTTTGAATGTGTTGAGAACTCCGCAGAGAATTTATTTTCTGACAACAGGTGCTGAGAGAAATTCAGTGGAACACTGCGGAATACCAATATCTAAAGAAACCAATGTCTGGATTTGATGGCTCACTAAGTGAGGTTCATTGCTGAACAATAGATCACATAAGACTATAGTATATTTGTGCAGATGGCATGGATCTGCACAAATAAGAGTTTTTAACAGTTGTTAAAAAAAAAAGAAAAATCAGGCATTTTATAAAAAATGCATGCTGAAACATCAATGGATTACTCATAAAATTAACAGATTTTATGGTGTACATTCACACTTGATTGTACACTACTGTATTACACACATCACCTGAAAATATGCATTTTGAGATAGTATTTTTTTATACTTCGGTTTAAGCCTTCAATCAACGCAAATGTTAAAAGAGAGACCAATACCATTTTTTGAGCGGTTGTGGTCAAATTGTTTGCAGGTGGCTCAGTGAAAATAGCACACTGCCACTTCACACACAGCTATCAGGGATGAAGAGCTTTGCCTGTCACAACAGAACGACCCCCTGCAAGCTGAAACAGAGGACACCTGCTCAGCTTTATAATGAAGGAGGTAATATCCGCTAAATAAAACTTCAGGATATCATATGTAACGTTGTCCTGTGGTTATACTGACTATTGTCCATCCATTCCATTATCCAACAAGCTGAAACAAAGGACACCTGCTTAGCTTTATAATGAAGGAGGTAATATCAGTACATGATATAGCACATGACGTTGTCCTCCGAGTACGCTAACTATCGTCCATCCATTGTCCAACATGCTTATCCTTACGAGGCAAGAGGCGGACACCCTGGACAGGGTCGCCAATCCATCGCAGATGCTGACTGTCAGTAAACCCTTAAGTTTAGTTAGGTTTAAGGGAGGAAAAATATGTTTGAATCCAGCAAATTAGATGAGCAGGTCAACTAAGCTTACTCAAAGTACTCCTGAGCAGGCGTGGCTTTGTAAATGTCACCGATGGAGCTGTTGTCGGCCCAGTCTGAGCAGTTTGGGCTGTTCCAGGTGTTGTTGCAGTGGACCCATGGGAGCTCGTGGGTGAATGAGGAGAAGAGGTAAAACAGCGCCCAGGAGATGATGACATTATAGTAGAAACCAACATAAAGGGAAATGAGAATCACTGTGAAGCCAACACCTGCAGGGGGCAGAATGGTAGACATTACACTCATTATGTAGAGTATGGTTAGACAACAAATGAATATACATTTAAAAACATATTACAATAAACGCTTGACCAATATCAATAGATAATACATCTGATAGAATGTCCAATATATACAATATTCACTTTATTACAATCCAGAACAGCATAGCATTCTGGGAGATGTAGGCAGAAGAAAGACTTTATCCGCTCAACCTCTCATGGCTAGCTAACAAAATGTAATCCAATTTGGGATTAGTTAAAGTTTTACAACATTGTTATTTATATTGAGCCCCTTTACTCTGATCAGTTTAACTAATTCTCTCTTTAAAGATCTCACAGTAGGAATATAAGTTCTTAAATGTTCCTATGAAGTTTATTTTAGACATGCAGGTAGTAGTAAGCTTTCTTGAAATTTATTCTACAAAATTAATAAATGTTTTGTATATTTTAAAATATTTCTGAGCATATATTCATCTCTTAAATATGCCTGCGGTCTACAACAACAACAACCAAAAACTGAACTTTTAAATTCAAACGCTTTATGCCTTAATTATCAGCACATCTGCCCTTTTCCTAAATCTGAAGCAGTGTCCAGTCTTCTAAGGCTGCAGTTAATTGTTGACCTTTGCTAAGAAGCCTGACCACAACTGGAGTTTATTGATATCTTTGTAACGTGGATGTGATATTTGTCCACAGAGCGAACCCTCTTATTAGCACCGCGTGATGCCGTGCTATCTCTCAATCACCGGTTTTCGCTTCTTTTCTTCAAACGCATTGATCCTGAGAGGAAACCAGCTTGCTGATCAGAATAATTACTGTCAATACGGGCATGCGTACGTGCATTTGAATAATTACTGTTATCCCCCTGCAGCGAGAGAAGCGTGTTATTAGAACGTCAACATACACAGTGTGCTCCCTGACAGGGGGCCCACACTCTTAGACAGACATACTGTAGATAGAAGCGTGCACACTGCGGGAAACATTTAGTAATACGAGACAGAAAACCGAACACTGTGAAGCGACAAATGCTCCGCCGAGCACATCCGAATACAAAGCAAGGAACTGAAACATAAATTTAAATCATTTTCTTCAAATTACAAAAGAAAACTTCCTGAAAATGAATAAGAATGAGACCACAAGAGACTGAACAAAGATAAAGGGTTATAAAGAGCACAAAACCACAAACATCTTTATTTTTTTCTTTCAACCTATGACTGGGATCAAAAACAAAAAAACAAGTCCAAATGCTTGCGTCTCCATTAGTGTGTGTTTGAATTGGCATTCTCCTAAAACTGCGCTTTGCTCAACGATGTGTCGAAAGGTACTCAGGGAGAGAGAGCGTGTCAGCCAGCATCACCCCAATTGGACAATCATGGAAGGAGTCTAAAAGCCCAATTTTCATTTGCTTTCCATCTGAGTGGCAACAGAACCTGATGTTCTGGGGGATAAATAATGCCTGTCGCTGCTCAACGAGGAGACAGGCGGACAAAAGAGACTGGCATGTGGACAGGCAGGCATGTGGGCAGACACACAGAAAGCTAAACATGCAGATTTCAAGAGGGGGGTTGTCAAACAGGAATGCAGGCAAATGGACATGCAGGAAGAAAAAAGAAAAGCTAACATAATCACAAACATTTTTATTGTGCCAAGTGCAAATGATCCTGCACCAACAAGAGTTAGAAAAGGATTTGAAATTTAAATTGAGTGTTTATTTTCTCTTTTAAGACCAAGGTGTTGAATAGAAAACATTGGAAGAGATTAAACTAACACGGGGATGATAGTTCAGCTGAGGACATCATGGTGTCTGGGTACTTTAATCTGAAGTTAAAGTAATGACCATTTAATTCTGAGGAGAGTGACCAAACATAGAAGTCCTTTCTATATCTTGGCTGCTGAAGAAGAGCCGGAGCCACAGAGCCAAAGACTGTTCTGCACATGGGGACCAACCCGTTAGCCCCGCAACATGTGGCTTCAAATTGCACTCCTCTCACCAGCTGGGTTTGGGACCCCAAAGACAAAGATAAAGACAAAGACCAAGGCAAAGATGAAGATAAAGACAAAGGCAAAGATGAAGAACTGATGTGTTCCTTCCGTGAGACCAGCTCGTCTACATCTCGATGGACCAGAAAGATCGTGAGACGAGGAGAAAGGAGCTACAGAGCTGCAAGACAAGAAGCTGAGGACCGCTACGCGCATGAGGAAGTTATCCTGAGGCCCGAGACCTGCCGCTCTAAGTCAGTACTCTTTCCTGCCAGCACCCAAGACCTGTGTGACCTCACCATCGAAGCGGAGACAAAAGCTCATCAGACCTGCAGGGACAGCTGCCCTCATCTATCAGTGCTGTGAGCCTTGTGCTGCTGCAACACGTCCTTCATCAGGCCAGTTCTGGGGTTCAAGATGCCAACCTCTGTCCATCTCTCTCAAAGTTTCCCTTTTTTAGTTTACAGTGTCAGCATTAGGGAAAGATAGATTAGCTTATTGATTTTACTTATTTGAT